TTGGGGCTCCAGTGTAGGACTCTTGTTTGCAACCTATGGAGCGCAAGGCTTCGTCACACGCGTGGGACTGAAGGGAGAGCGTTGGTGCCGTAGCTGTTGCTTGCATTCGCTGCAGGTGTTGCTCCTCATGTCTTCTCTGCTAGCACACCTCGTCCTGGCTGCAGGTCTTTGCCTTTTCACGGTAAGTCCCCGTTGCTGTTGTTGCTGCTGCTTGCGCTGCCGTCGTGTCTGTGCTTAGCTGCTTCCGCTGTTTCTGGCGTTCCAGCTGCCTCAAGCGTTACTGCTGTTTAGGCGCTGTTGCTGTTCAAGACTTTTAGCAGGTGTTGCTGCTGCTGCTGAGCACTGGGGTACCTTACGAAACCAATACAGCAGCGTTGCTGTTTTTTTCCGTTCTCTCCGCAGGCAGCCCCCCAGTATGCATCCTTCGGCAACCAAACGTTTGTCCCGCAAGTGAGCCGCTTGGTGCAACCCATCACTTGAGCTGTTAGTTAGCTGTTCCGGCTAGTTAGCTAATCAAGTTACCTAGTCCACCTACCTAACTGTTCTAGATATATAGCGAGGCAAGCTAGCTAGCTAGTCCAGCTAGCCAGCAAACCAAGCTAACTAGCCGGTCGAGCTGGCTAGCCCGCGGAGGCGTCTAGCAGGCCAGTAAAATAACGAACCGCGGTGCGGACCCTATCGAGCTTCTCGAGGGGGCTTTGAACGCCTATTTAGTTACTGTGTGTCAGTGGGTTGTTGGTTGTGCTTCTGCTGCTGTTGGTGTTGCTCCAGAACGGGTCAGATGCCATAACATGCTCGCTGCATGCAGCAGCAGCGGGCACCTCGTGTCGCCTGACCGTGTTTGCTGCTGCTCTTTCCCGGGTGGCCTTCGGTGAGTAGCACTCTAACAACACCGTGTACGATCTGCTGCAGTTGTATTCAACTTTGGGTATAACTGTTTTGGGGTATATTGGACTGGGGGCACGTGCGTTTTGTGTCTTCTAACTGGTGCAGCGACTCCGTTGCTCGCCTCGTTGCTATACTGCAGCAATTGGTGCTTCCTCAGTAAGCCGCTTCTCGAGTGAACTACGATGTTCACGATTTATTGCCAAATTTCTAACTTAATCTCCTGTGGGGCTTGCCGTTGCATGCACGATTGCCGTCCGAGGGTGTTTGTTGGATATTTGGTTTGTATTCGTTGTATCCTTTTGCCTTTTGCTCGCGTGTGCTTGCTCCGCGCCAGGCGGCTTCCTGCATTGCTGCTGAAAAATGTATTCGTAAATGTACTCGTATGTACCAATAATTGTTCGTGCAAATAAACAGGTGCATGCTATATATACCATATGCAGTTACATCATATACACATATAAGCGTATACGCGTAAGTCTACCTATGTTTTTGCCTATTTCTGTTGGTAGTTACAAGTGGATAAATTGTCGTGCATTTGCATACTGCATGAATGCGTATGAATACATGCACGTATCCGTGCGTGTACTTATACACACAGTATATTGTTGCGTGCTTGTATCTTTCCTGCAGTTGGGGTCCTGCTATGCTTGATATATGTAGCTGCTTGCCGGCGAGCGGTGCCCTCCCACGCGGCCGCGTGGGACTCTCAGCAGCAGCGAATGACAGCAGGAGCAGCAGCAAGAGCAGCAGCAGGTGACCTAGACGACTTGGCGGTGGTAGATGAATCCGCTCGGCTGATAGGTGTGTAAGAACAAACCGTTAATGTTTTTTTTGTTTCCAGTAGAACAAGGGGACAGTCGCTGCATCTCCATCGCAGACTGTCGAAAGGCTCAACAGACACAAAAACTGTGTTTTAGGGTTTGGCGTTTAAGATTCACTTGGCACGGGCACCTTAGCTTCCCCATGCAACTCCAGTTCTGGTGCCTATCCAGCCAAATAAAACACCAACAAATTACCTATAATCCGAGATAAAACAGTAATTGTCTGCTAGAGTTGGGCATCATGCAAGTAATTAGCTAGCAAACTGCTGCCTTAGGCAGCGCTTGGCTTTCGTTAGTTGTATAGGCACTATGTGCCCGATTAAACTGGAGGGGGAGGGGCGGGGAGGGAAGGGAGCGGGGTAAAACAGACACATTGGAAATGACCTCCCCCACAGAGCCACACGGCGCTACGCTGCTTTTGCATGAGATGTGCCGACGTACAGCTTCCCTTGTGGCTCGCCCTCTCTAGTAGAGCCAATAGTCGCTGACTGAACTGCAACAGAGCCCATGCCATGCCGTCCTTGTTTTGTTCTGGGCGGGCTGCTCGTTATGCTGTTTCCTTAGTCCACGACCTGAGGCTTGCAGGCGTGTTGGAGCGGTTGGAGGGCGGTATATATTTTTACTACCAACGCTCCAGTCCTCTGGGTTCAAATAGCCACGTCGCCGCTGCACGCTGCTGCGTGCAGCGGCGATGTGGCTATATATGGTGTGTGGGTGCTTCCCCGCTGCGTGCAGCGGGGAAGCACCCACACACCATATTTCCGTCTGCCCCCTCCAATTCGGGGAAAAAGGAAATAAAAAATCGAGGCTGACTCCTGACGGTGGTACGACATCTCTGCGCAGTTCGTTAAGAGCAGCTCCCCACAGTACGGGGGACGGTCGGATGCATTATTGCGGCAACTCTTACCGAACGCAGTGACACAANCAGCTCCCCACAGTACGGGGGACGGTCGGATGCATTATTGCGGCAACTCTTACCGAACGCAGTGACACAATATGCTCATATTCGTCTCAACATTGCTTGCTAAACATAGGAATTATATGTGGGGCGAGGTTTTGCCTCTTCAGGTACATTGACAACTCAGCATTTGAGTAGTTCAACGACCGCTTCTACTGCTCCCGCCGGCTACCATGGAGCATTTGGGAGCTATGAACACATCACGCTCATCCGGCAAAGTTTTTGAGTCATCATGAAGCAAATTTGAGTACTTAACTTAGTTTTACATTTGTCGTTACGACCTTCGCTGATGTTTATGTCTTGATAAATACGTTTTGCATCGGCAGGGCATACAGGCGAATGGTTCACTTGTGGTCTCAGCGAGCAGGGGAGGAATACTACACTATTCCTTGTGCTTTTCACCCGCCTTCTTATATAGAATAAAACTTCTATTTTTGAGGGTGAAAACCATTAAAGAGGATGTACGGCAGCAATACGTGCGCCTGAGTAGTGTAGCTCCCGGCTGGAAGACTATCGAGGCTCGATTGCTATGCAATTTTCCAGAAGCCTGCTTCTGGTGCTTATCGGCGCTTAATTCTTTTTCGTTTTCAGAATAAGAACTTGAGGCCAAAATATAGCTGAAAATATGCGGATAACACAGCCACGGGCGGCTTTCTGTTTCATAGGCGCTGCTCTCCCCTTTCTTACAGGCCAGTGTGCACAGTCA